GGGAAGGTGGCCTAGCTGTACCAGATCGTAAACTGTATTATAAATCAGCAACCATTAAAACTACTTGGTACTGGCTAAGAAATAGAGTGGTGAATCAGTGGGATAGGTTAGGTACACAAGACACAGTAGTCAATGACTATAGTAATCTGCTGTTTGACAAATCCAAAGACTCCAGCTTCTGGGACAAGAACTCACTATTTAACAAAACCTGCTGGGAAAACTGGAAAATAATATGGCAGAAACTAGGCATAGACCAACACCTTGCATCATATACCAAGATAAAGTCAAATGGGTACATGATTTAGATATAAAGGGTGATACTATAAGCAAATTAGGAGAGCAAGGAATAGTTTACCTGTCAGATCTATGCAGAAGGGAAGAATTTATGACCAAACAGGAGATAGAGAACATTATGAAATGGATAATTTCAATTAGATTAGAAAGGAAGAAGAAAGCTGGGAAACAAGTTTTAAATTAGATTAGAAAGGAAGAAGGACGCTGGGAAACAATTTTTACAGCCAGTGTCTCTGATAAAGGCCTCATTTCTAAAATATATAGAGAACTGAGTCAAATTTATAAAAATGCAAGTAATTCCCCAATTGATAAATGGTCAAACGATATGAACAGGCAATTTTCAGATGAAGAAATTAAAGCTATCTATAGTCATATAAAAATGCTTTAAATCACTATTGATTAGGGACAGCTAGGTGGCACAATGGATAGAGCACCGGCCCTAAAGTCAGGAGGACCTGAGTTCAAGTCCGGCCTCAGACCAAACACTTGACACATACTAGCTGTGTGACCTTGGGCAAGTCACTTAGCCCCAATTGGCTTATCAAAAAAAAATCACTATTGATTAGAGAAATACAAATTAAAACAACTCTGGGGTACCACATCACACCTATCAGATTGGCTAACATGACAAAACAGGAAAATGATAACTGTTGGAGAAGATGTGAGAAAATTGGAACACTAATACATGGTTGGTGGAGTTGTGATCTGATCCAACCATTCTGGAGAGCAATTTGGAACTATGTCCAAAGGGCTATAAAACTGTGCATACTCTTTGATCCAGCAATACCAATACTAGGTCTGTATCCCAAAGAGATCGTAGAGAAGGGAAAAGGACCCACACGTACAAAATATTTATAGCAGCTCTTTCCATAGTGGCAGAGAATTGGAAATTGAGGGGATGCCCATCAATTGGGGAATGACTGAACAAATTGTGGTATATAAATGTAATGGAATGCTATTGTTCCATAAGAAATGATGAGCAGGCAGATTTCAGAAAAACCTAGAAAGACTCACATGAACTGATGCTGAGTGAAGTGAGCAGAACCAGAAGAACATTGTACACAGTAACAGCAACATTGTGTGATGACCTACTTCTCAGCCATGCAATGATCTAAGACAATTACAAAACACTCATGATGGAAAATGCTATCCACATCCAGAGAAAGAACTATGGAATCTGAATGCAGATCAAAGCATACTATTTGCTTTTTTTGTTTTGTTTTGTTTTGTTTTTTCTTTTTTGTGGTTTCTCCCTTTTGTTCTGATTCTTCTTTCACAACATAACTAATATGGAAATATGTTTAATATGATTGTACATGTAGCGCCTATATCAGATTACATGTCATCTTGGGGAGCGGCAGGGGAGGGGGGAAATTTAGAACTCAAAATCTTATAAAAGCGAATGTTGAAAACTAAAAAGAAAGAGAGAGAGAAAGAAAGAAAGAGGCTGTCCTGGAGGCAATAGGGAGCTACCCACAATTGTGGAACATGGAAGTGACGTGATTAAACTTGTACATTGTTGGTGTTGTTGTTATGATTAATGGTAGTAGTAGTAATAGTAATTGTTGTAAACTATGGTTCTACAACCTCAAGGGGAGTAAATCTTTCACTGCTGTATCGGCCCTATCTCCTGACAGAGTTTACGTGGCTCAGAGGCTCAAGTGGCCCCCATTCTCCCTGAGAAAAAGAGGCTGAGGGGGGCATCTAGGTGGCCTAGTGGATAGAGCACCAGCCCTGAAGTCAGGAGGACCTGATTTCAAATCCGGGCCTCAGACCAAACACTTGACACTTACTAGCTGTGTGACCCTGGGCAAGTCACTTAACCCCAATTGCCTAAAAAAAAAAAAAAGAATGAAAAAGAGGCTGAGGTTGCTGTCAACAATGAATACAAGTAAGCATGGTGTCATAATCCATCTATTTTTATAAAGTTACATGATAAGAGACCTGAAAACTGACTTTTAAAAATTAAAGTTACTGCAGATATGAAGTAAGAGGATTATTTTGGAACCTGTGAGGAGGAGGGGTTAGGGAGGAGAGAGACTAGAAGCAGAGACAATTAGGAGTCTGTTGAGGGCAAGGTAGAAATAATAAGACTCAGCAAGGGACCTCAACAAAGGCAGTGAATGCGTGAGTGGAGAGAAGGAGTCCGGGAGTCAAGGAATGTTGTGGAGGTAGAAATAATAAGACTTGGCAAAGGATTGAACGAGGGTTAAAGGAGAGAAGAAAGCTGAGGTTGCAAGGACAGCCAGGTGGCCCAGTGGATAGAGAGCCAGGCCTGGAGCTGGGAAGACTCATCTTCCTCAGTTCAAATCTGGCCTCAGACACTTAATCACTTCACCCTCTTTGCCTCAGTTCCTTCATCTGTAAAGTGAAGTGGAGAAGGAAATGGTAAACCACTTCAGTATCTTCACCAAGAAAACCCCAAATGGGGTCACAAAGATTCAGCCTTGATTGAACAACAACAACCAGGTTGCAAACTTGGATGAACAGAAGAAAAGTGGTACCTTGGACAGAAATAAGGAAATTAGGAGGAAGTCTAGGTGTTGGGGAGATCATAGGTTCTATTTGACGCATGCTCAGATAGAGATACTTATGGGATAGGCAAGTGGAGATGGCCAACAGGCAGCTAGCCCCCCTGTACCTCAAAAGGGTCCCCAGGACTGAATGGTAGCACGTCTCCAAGAGATGGTGACAATAAGAAAAAGAGGTGAAGTGATCTTTTCCCGGATGTGAAGGATGTATATAATATGTTTAATGTGGATAATGGACTCTCCCTTCCCCCACATTTAGATCTTTTTGTAGGTTTTGGCAGTTCAAAGCAGTAAAGCTTCAGTTATCTGTCCTCTAGCTCCTTGAGATCAAAGACTGTTTTCCTTCATGTCTTTGTCTTCCCAGAGCCTAACCCAGTGCCTGGTACACAGTAAGTAAATGTTTGTTGATTGAGTGTTAAAATGTAAGCTCCCTTAAAGTCAAGCACTATTTCTTCTGGGTCTTTGTCTCCATAGCTCCAAGCACAGTATCTGCTATATAGTATGTGCTCGATAAATGCTTATTGGTGTTTTCCACTACTCTCTCTCTCTCTCTCTCTCTCTCTCTCTTTCTCTTTCTCTCTCTTCCTCTCTCTCCATATATATGTATATAAAATACATAGTCATATCATAATATTAATATAAAGTACTATATAAATAAATGATCTGGCAGAATAATGAGGCTTTACTCCCTGCTTTAAAGTGGAGATAATGGAAGGCAAGGCTATGACGGTGAAGAGGGTGGTTTCCTGCTTCATTCAGAGAGATAGACCTTGACCTTTATTTACACAAGTAGCCTAAGTGGTAGAGGGAGAGAAAACAGCTCTTTTGGATTTTCTTTTTTAAGGGGAAGGGGGGATTAGAGTGGGTTCCATATAGCAGAAAAAAGGGGGAGGAGCTGGGTTCAGGTCCTGCTCCGGACACACACTGGCTGCATTACCCTGTGTAAGTCACTTCACCTCCTAGCACCCTAAACAGTTTCCTAAGCATTTGGTTGACAAGCTTTTATTTAGTGCCTGCTATGTGCTGGATGCTGGGGATGCAGAGACAGAAGGAAAATAACCCCTGCCCTCAAGGAATTTACATTCTACATGGGGATTAGGCTAGGGAGGGAGGTACAGGCAGCTTGGGCCCCCCCAGCCCCCTCAGATCAGGAAAGTTTATCCAAGGTGGGACTTCAGTTGAGTCTTGAAGGAAGAGAGGAATTAATTCTCTGAGTTCAGGTGAGAGGGAGTAATGTACAGAGCCTTATCTGTATTGACAGAAGGCAATTCCACACAATAATAATAACAATAATAATAATATAGTGTTTACTATGTTCACTAGGTTTCCAGAGCACTTTACAATTATCTCATTTGATCCTCATGACAACCCTGGGACGTAGGTGCTATTATGATCCCCATTTTACAGATGAAGAAAGTGAGTCAAGTGACTTGCCCAGGGTCACACAGCTAGGATGTGTCTGAGGTCAGATTTGAGTCTGAGTGTCTCTGACTCCATGCCACCTCACTGTGATAAGGATGCCAGCTGGGCCTCCAGCCAAGTCACTGATACCATGTTAAACGTCACAGGGCCAAGCTCAGGATGCTAGGACCTTTCCCTAGAAACCTCCTGCCACAGTGACCGGGAACGTTCCTCACTATTCTTTGGGTTCAGCCACTCAACAACTGTCGTTCTGAATCTACCTAATTGGACTGTCATTCAGGCCGAATCATTCCATCTTTTCTACAAGAAGAGAATGAGACACTTTATCAAATGCTTTGCCTAAATTGAGGTAAACGATATCAACAGCATCCCTCAGTCTGCCAAGGAGGCAGCCTTGTCAAAAACAGGAAGCAGGTGAGTCCCTCCTGGCCTCTTCTCCATGTAGCCCAGTAGACTGGCTGGTCCTCGGCAATCACTGCTTCCTTTTCTGGATGCTTTTTAACGATCTGCTCTACAGTTTTGCCAGAAATTGAGGTCAAACTTGCTGGCCTATAATTTACAGACTGTCTTCTCTTCCATTTTTGGAAAATCGGGACATTTGGCCTCGTGCAGTGCTACCGCACCTCTCCTCCTCACCGTGAACATTCAAGTTTCACTGAGAGCAGCTCAGCAGTCACATTGGCCAGTTCTTTCATCTCCGTGAAATTCACTGCCCTGCTCTCCCTTCCCCAGCCTTGCTGCCCCTAGCCTCACCTTCTGGGGCCAGGCAGAACAAATCTGCACCTTCTTCTGCCTTTAGAGAGGGTGTGAAGCCTGTTCCAAGCCACTGGATCACCTTCTCATTCTCTGAGAAGGCATTTTCCCTCTCCCCTTCCCACTCCCTAGAAAACAGAGAAGTTCTTAGTGCTGCTAATGTCTGGGACATTCTGGGACATTCCTGGATGAGAGGACAGCACCCACCCCTCAATGATGGAGAGACAAGATGGAGAAAATTGCTGTCCTGCTCTAAAAGGAAAGGAGGATTTTGGTGGATCACACAGAGTCTCAGATGACTGAGGATGCCCCCATAGGCAGGCTACAGAGGCCACAAGAAGAGAATGGGCCACCCTCCCATCCCCATCCCACGAAGCTGCCCTTGAAGCTGACCTCTCCAAGCCCCTGGGCTACTCATTTCACAACCTCTGCTCTTACAGAACCACAGGCTCTCTGAGATGGAAGGAATCTCAGCAGCCGGCTAGCTCAACTTGCACCAGAGCAAGAATCCTCCATACAATACAAGACAAACAAGCAGGTGACCTTGCCTGGCTACCGCCATTGTGGGCCAGGCACCATTCTCTCCCCACTCCACCCCTCACTGCAAAAACTCAAAATGTTAGGGAGTTTTCCTTGACATTGAATCTACAATTTCCCCTCATTTTGACCAGGGGCCAAAAGTAACAAAGTTAATCCTTCTTCCCTATTACAGCCCTTCAAACGTCTGAAGACAGGAGTAAAAAGTCATTGATTTTGAGCTTCACAGGCTCTAAAATGCCACCTAATTCATCCCTCTCATTTATAGATGAGGAAACTGAGGCTCAGATCTCAGGTGCGGTTAGACCCAGGTCATGCCCATCATGACCATCAGAGGAAGACCTGGATTTCAGTCTTCCTTGGCTCCAGGGCCAGCACCCTCACCCTCGAGGTGCTCCAGTCCATCCTCAGCATTCTCTTTTCCAGGCTAAAGTAGCCACTCTCTTCAACTGATCTCATACTGCATGGATTTTACCTTGTTTTCCTTCCATCTGAGATGTCTCAAGAGCCTACATGCTCCCTGGACCTCCCAAATCCATGACCTTGTGGACCCTTTAGCATAGTGAGGGGGCAGACCTCGACATTCCCTCCAGCGCTGAGCTGTCTCAGTGCCTTTCTGGGCCTCTCATATCTGGATGCCCGCACTTTCCAGCTGTCTCTGAGTCCTAGAGTGTTAGAGCCAGAAGGGGCCTCACCTCTTCCTTATCCAGGCCCATCCCTTCGATTTACAGAGAACACTGCGGAGGCCTACAAAGTGTAGGAGACTTTGACTCATAGGTTAAAAGCTAGGAAGGATGTAAGAGGCCACCTAATCCAACTTCCTCCTTTTTATAGACAAGGAAAGTAAGATCTAGTTAAGTTAAAAGCTTTAGCATGATAGATGTAGCCCTGGAAGGGAACTCAGAGTCCTTTTAGCTCAATTCTCTCATTTTACAAAGGAGGAAACTGAGGCTAGGAGAAGGGAAGGGATTTGACCAAGGTCACACAGGTAGTAAGTGGTAGGGCTGGATTTGAACTTCCGTCATCTGACTGGAGAACTAGAACTCTCGGTTCCTGAAAATCTCTCAGTTGCTCCTGTTTCAGCTCCCTCCCCCCGAAAATCAAGGTCATCTGGGTTGCTCAGCTAGCAGGACCTCTGGAGTTTGTGGCTAACGTCCAAGACCTCCCTGCCGCCCCTTCAAGTTACTCCAGCCCAGTACGTAATGCCTGGACACCAGGGCTTACTCCCAGACGTGCCCTTATTCACAGACACTTCCCCAAGTGTTTCTTCAGCCCTTGTCCTCCCCTATCTTCTAGCCCCCGGCCTTCTCCAGGTTTCTGACTCAGGGAGCTGGGCAGGACCTTGGATAGAGATCGTCTACTCCAGCCGCTCAACTGATAAGGAAAGGGAGATGGAGACAAATGAAGGGATTTGCCCCCAACACACAGGGATGAAGCGACAGCTGGGGTTTCTATCCAGGTCCTCTTGGACTTTTAGCTGGAATGGACCTCAGAGATCATGTGATCCACCCCCCCTCATTTTACAGAGGCCCAAAGGTGGAAAAGGACATGGCCAAGGTCACACAGTCAGTGGCAGAGCAAGGTCTGGAACACCAGGGTACCCTCCTAAGAGTCCCGGACTCTTTCCAATAACCCCATGTTTTATTTCTTCCATTTCCTGACCATCCGTCCCCCCTCACATCCACACACACACAGAGCATCCTCAACTCAAGCTGTTTGTCTTCTAGGCGGGTGCAAATTTTGCAGTTCAGAGGCAGAGCCTTGACAAGGCGAGGCTTCGTACCCTCACATGCACAGTTACCCCAAGAAGCAGCAGCCTGTCCCCCTCCCCCAAAACCTGCCAGGGCTCCAGCCCAGGAGGACAGAGAATGGAGGGGGGAGCTAGGAAGGGAGAAAGGACAGAGCCAGAGAGTGGCCCCATGGCTGCTAGGACACGGGGAGGGGGTCACTACTGAGGCAAGGGGAGGGGGGCTCCTGGGACACGGGGAGGGGGCTCCTGGGGCATGGGGAGGGGGCTCCCGGGGCATGGGGAGGGGGCTCCTGGGACACGGGGAGGGGGCTCCTAGGACAGGAGTGACGCATGGGGGCCCGGTGTTGCCCACTCACTGCCAGAGGCCTGGGCCAGCTGTCCGAGCTGGAGAAAGTATGCCCCACTGTAGGTGCTGGAGCCACGGGACAAACCCCCATTAGCTCCCCAGAGTTTGAATCTCTCTGGGCCTTGGTTTCCCCTTCTGTAAAACGAGTGGGAGTAGATTTTATGAGCTCTAAGGCCCCTTCTCACACCCTAAGAGGGTTGGATTAAAACCGTGCCCCTGCCGCTTTCTAGCCGTGTGACCTTGGGCAAGTCCACTCCTCCTCTCTGGCTAGGCCTCAGTTTCCTCCTCTGTAGAAGGAGGGCTGCCCGACAAGCGGGTTCCGGGACTCCTTCCCTGGCCCTCCCCTCCTTGGCCCCCCTCCCAGCCTGCTCCCCGGGCCCCTGGCCCGGCTGACCTGGCGGCCGCTGGCCCGCGGCTGCTCGCAAGGCCCTGCAGGCTGCGCTCTGCACGTCTGCGGCGCTGCTCGGACGCACGGGGCAGTAGGAGGCCGCCTGCACCGGGCCGCCCGAGTCCCGGCCGAACACGGAGCGCAGCAGCGCCTCCAGCAGGTGCATGGCCTCGGCCTCGCTTCCCTCCTCCGCGCTTTGGTTGTTGCCGCGGCCGCCGCCAGGCTCCTCCACCAGCACCCCTACTAGCGCTGCGCCGCCTCCTCCGCCGCAGTCCCCCGCGTGCCCCCAAGGCGGGAGCCGCCCCCTGGGCCGCCAACGAGGCCGCTGCCGCCGCCGAGCTCGCACGTCCCGCAGGATCTCCCGCAGGCGCAGTCGCGGCTCCGGGGCCCGCAGGGAAGCTTCTCGGCACAGCACGAACACGAGTGGGGAGCGGATGGCCCGCTCCGGGGGTCCGCGGCCAGGAGCCCGCGCCGCTGCCGCCTCCTGCGGGCCTCCGGGCTTGCCGCTGGCCTCCCCAGCCTCCGCCTCCTGCGGGCCTCCGGGCTTGCTGCCAGCCGCCCGCGCCTCCTCCTCCTCCTCCTCCTCCTCCTCCTTTTCCTCGTCTTCTGCTTCTTCCTCCTCCTCTTCCTCCTCTTCCTCCCCTTCCTCCCGCGGCTCCGGGAAGACGTGGCGGGCGAAGTCTCTCATTAGGCTGCGACTCTGCTCCCGCTCCCACAGCTCAGCCACCAGCAGCACCCGGCTCCGGCCCCCGGCGCCCTCCAGCAGGGCCTGCAGCAGGTTTCCAGGCCCAGCCGCCGTCGCCACCCCCCTCTCCATGGCCCCGCTCGGCCCGCGCCCGCCTCCTTGCACCGAGTCTCTGGCCGCCGCTGGCCCCTCCGCGGCCACCAGGCTGGCCCCTCCTCAGCCGGGGCCTGGGGATGCCCGCCCCGGGACACGCCCCCGCAGCTGGGCTGAGGCGCTGGCACCAACCCCCTCGCCCCCCTCCCCACCAGGGCTCACGTGCCGCCCCACTTTGCTGTCATTCCCGGGGCCCCGACCTTGAGGGTTTGGAACGATGCGGGGGTCGGGGACCCTTGCCAACCCACCCCCGCAGCCGGAAAACGTCCATTCAGAGGTCATTGCTGGGGACCACGAAGGAATCTTTGAGCCCAGCCATTCTGTGCCTTCCCCAACGTCTCAGTCATTCATTCTTTCCCTTTCCCCAGAGAACCCACGGAGAAACTGAGGCACGAGGACTCGGTCCCAGATTCCCTAGAATCCAACTGGAACTAGCTACCATCGCGACATTAGGAGACAGGGAGGCTCAGGAGTCACAAGACCTGGGCTAGAAATTCAGTCCTACCATTGACTGGCCAATCTGAGCGACCTTGGACAATCCATCTCCCCACCTAGGCTCAGTTTCCTCATCTGTAAAATGAGAGAGTTGGGGAGCTAGCCGGCACATGGGGGAAAACACTGCTCTGGAGTCAGACGGCCGGACTCTTGGGACCCCGAACCAGACCAGTCCGGACCCCTGCAGCACAACTGCATTAGGACTACGATTCCTGCTCCTCAGCACAGCCCCCCATAGGAGATGGTGCTGTCACCGACCCCGTCTCCGAAGCGCAGACAAATCACTTAACCCTCCTAGACCTTCAACTTGGATGCCTTCCAACTCCAAATCCTGTAATCCGAGGAAAGTAAACACCCCACTCCCAACCTTGCTCCGAATGTAGGGAAAGGGTTAGCACCCTTTGGTTTGAAACTAACAACAGCTCAAGCCCAATGAATGGGGTCGATCTTGACCTGCAGTCCCCTCCCGGGGGCTGTGGATACACTTCGGGGGCTCCTTGAACTTGTATGAGGGAAGGAAAAAAAACAGCTTTATTTTTTTTTGACTAGTCTTTGGTTTCCTTTGCGATATTATGTATTTCATTTTATGCATTTCAAAGCATGATTCTGAGAAGGGGTCCAGACTGCGGGCCCAAGGTGCCTAGGACGCGTGTAAGAGTGAAGAAGAATCTTTCCTGAAGAAGGGAACTGGGTCCAAGCAGAAAATCAGCTGGATGGGGCAGGGCTTAAGGTCGAACCATCAGGTCAGATTCCCATTCGGCATCCAGGCTCCTCGTTTTACTTAGGATTATAGCTTGAAGGCCAGAGGAGACCTTAGAGGAGATGTGGAGTAGTGTAATCAACCAATCAATCAGTGACAAACATTTATTAAGTGCCTCCAATATGCCAGGCACTGCGCTAAGCATTAGGAACATACAAAATGAATTGACCGGGGAGCTTGCAGACAAAACTTAGGTAATGAGTCAATCACAGGCTGTGTATTAAGTGCGAATTGTGTTCTAGGTGCTGGAGAAACAAAAAGTACTGCACTGGCTGCCCTCAAGGAATTTGCCTCTATCTGGGGGAGACACCACCAGACCTCTAAGTTTATGCCAAAGGGGAAAAAAATACAAGGTAATAATTTTGAAGGAGAAAGCCCAAGTAGAGCCTGAATTTAGTCAGAAGACATGGTTACAAATCCCATTTGTGTGGCCTCAGTTTCCTGGGGTGGGGGGAGGGGGTTTAAATCCAGAGGTTGGATTAGATGGCTTTTGAGAATCCCCCTCTGCCCAATAACAGAGGCCTAAAAGCTTCTGGTTCAGTCCTCCCAGCCTTTTATCATCTCTCCTGCTGAGCCCCAATGCTGCAAACAAAAACTAAAGAAAACAAGTCTGTCTCAGCTGCAGGAGGGGGCGGTGGGATCACAATTAAAAGCAGCTCCCCATCCAGGGAATCTGAGGGAGGCTCCTGGTGGCCCTTGGACCTTGGAGGGGTGGCCTGCAAACCCCAGGCCCAGCCGACGCCTGGAAGGTTCAGTCCCTGCTGCTGGAGAAAGCAGGATGGTTCCCTCAGCCAGAGGGTCCCTGGGGCATCAAGGGGGAGGGAGCCTTTTGGTCCCAGGCACCCTCTTCCTGACTGTGGGCACCAGCATCTCCAGGAGACTGGGAGGAAGAGAAGGCAGGGGTCCTGAATGCTTCTCTAGTTGTGATTCCTCATCCAGACCCCAGCCTGGCACTGCCCCCTGCCCCCACTGGCACCAAGGCCAAGCAGTGGGAAAAGTCTTCCTCCTTGCCTGGGGGCAGATGGGGGCACCCCAGAGCAAGCTGGAAACCTGAAGCACCACTTTGCTTCTCTGCTCCTCAGCAAAGTGCTAGGAGGTGGATGCTGTAGCTACTGCCATCATCCCCACTTTACAGAAGAGACTGAAGCAGCAGGTAGGTTAAAAGCCTTGCCCAGGGTCATATCACCTAATGTCAGAGGTAGGATTTAAACCCAGGCCTCCTGATGGCAACTCTGAGTTGTGCTTCTTCTGTGAAATTCGTGCTTACACACATGCAAGCACATGTACATAGAAACACACCTACATACGTGTACATACCCATAAACACAGGTGTGCACACGTACACACACGTGTGTACACACATGCACATACCTCCATACACACATAGAGGGGCACAGATCTAAAGTGAAACTTGAGGCCCTGAGAGTGGAGGTTTCTGGCCTAAGATCATGCAGGCAGTGACCGTCAGAGGCAAGATCTGAACCTGTGTCCTGGCTCCAGCCCAGGCTCTTTCCCCTCTATTACTAAAGGACAACTAATAGAGGGCTAGATCAGGAGGTGGAAGACCTGAGTTCAAATCCTTCTTCTGTCATTTACTGGCTTCTCGAACTTGGGCTCGTGAACATGATTCTCTTGGAGCCTCAGTTTTCTCCTGTGTGGAATGAAGGGGTCAGATCAGATGACCCCGACATCATCTCTAGCTATAGATCTGTGATAATCAGTCAACAGGCCTTTATTAAGTGCCAGGCACCGTGCCGGGCACTGGGGAGACAAAGACAAAAAGCCAAAACTGTCCCTGCCCTCAAGGAGCTTACCCTCTACTGGTCCCTTCAGAACAGCAGTGAGGGAAGATTGGAAGCCAATCTGACTGGATTCTTCCATCTCCCAGCTCAGAATCGGGGCAGTTAGTCTTGATAGCTCCACCACTCAACACAATGCCTGGCTCTGAGTAAGTACCTTGGCTGACCTTTTACATCTGGTGTCTAGAAGTGGCAGCAGGAGGCCTGGAGAAGGGCCTGAGATCAGAAGGCTTGCAACCCTGAGCAAGCTTCTTCTGAGTCCCCCCACCCCTCACTTTCACTCCCAACCTCCTTTCGGATTTTTGTTTACTCATTTCAGTCATGTGTGACTCTTTGTGACCCCATTAGGGTTTTTTGTGGCAAAAGTGCTGAAGTGGTTTGCCATTTCCTTCTCCAGCTCACCTGACAGATAAGGAAACTGAGGCAAACAGAGTGACATGAGTTGCCCAGGGTCACACAGCTGATAAATGTGTGAGGCCAGATTTGAACTCATTAAGATGAGTCTTCCTGAATCCAAGTTATGTTCTATGCACTATGGTGCCACCTATCACCCCTTTCAGATTACTAAGGAACTAGTCCAGTAATAAAGAAGGTGAAGATGAAAACCAGGGTGAGAAGGAGGCAAGTCAGCTTTCCCCTTCCGACAGGGTTGAATCTCATTTCCTTGAGGTCCATCTTGGCATTCACCTGGGCACGGTTTGCTTCTGGCAATGCTTCAAGGATCAGGGTGACTTCCTTGACAAAGGTGAAGATCACAATCATGGTCGACATTGATATAGCGCATTGCTTTATTCAATAAATAACAGTCAGGAGGACCTGAGTTGAAATCTGGCCTCAGACACTTGATACTTACTAGCTGTATGACCCTGGGCAAGTCACTTAACCCTGATTGCCTCACCAAAAAAAAAAAAAAGGCGGGGGCAATAAATGACAGGCATTTCTTAATCACCCACTATGTACCAGGCACTTTTTGGGTGCAGAAGAGGTGAAATAGAACAATCTCTGCCCTCAGAGAGCTCACATTTGATTGAGGGAGACCACATGTACATAAATCATTCAACAAACATTAATCTACTGTATGCTGGGCCCAGTGTGTATTTGGTGCTAGGGCTACAAAGGCAAACACAAACAGACTCTGTCCTCGAGCTTACATTCCCAAATGTTGTGAGGGTGTGATAAGCTGTAATAAGCCTTTTCAGAATATTGGCCTTAGAGGGGATCTCAAAGCCCCAGGTCTTGACTCCTTTCTATGTAAACTGTGGCCTAGAGTTATACTTGTTAATAAGAAATCAAAATCAAAATCAGATCCAGAGTCACAGGAGTCCTTATCAACTTGGCAGAAAAAACTAGGCTCAGTGATTTCACCAAACTAAGTACTAAGGAGGTGATGGCTGGGGCACACCCCTTCTGATCTTTAACCCGCCCTTCATGGGTTTTGGAGACTCAGTAAATTCAGCAAACATTTACTAAGGCCCCTCCTAGGTCCAAGGCTCTGGCATGGGTGTGGGGGGGGGTGGGGGAAAGATGGAAAAAGGGGAAGTCTTGGCCTAAAAGGGAAGGCCCAGCAAGATGCAATCTTTGGCAGATTGGCAGGAAAGCACACTTCTGGGCAGGGCCAGTTACTCCAATTCGTAATAATAAACAATAACAGCATTGAAATAGCACTTCACAATTTATAAGGTACTTTACAAATATTATCTCATTTTATCCTTACAAGAACCCTGAGAGACAAGTACTATTATTATCCCTATTTCTACAGATGTGTAAACTGAGTCAGGCAATGCTTACGTGACTTATCACTCCTAAGTGTCTGAGGTTGAACTTGAACTTGGGTCTTCCTGACTCCACGGCTGGCACTCCATCCATCACACCACCAGGACCAGGGCCCAAATCCCCGTCTAGGGCATCTCTAGCTGGGGAGTTGG